ATATATATTAATTTCTCAAAATTTTAATTAATTCTAATTTTTATTAGTTTTAACTGTTATTACTTCAAATTTTAGACAATTTAATATCAAAATTTTTTGAGTTTGAATTTAATTTTGAAAATTTTTTTGCAATTTATTTATAATTTAAAATTAAGAATAAAATTATTTTTTAAAAATTGAAAAATTTTATAGAGATTTTATAACCAATTATAATTAAAAAATGTTATTTTAAAAACTATAAAATATTTTGTATAACTTTTAAAAAAATGATTTTTTTAAAAATTAATATTCAGTATGTTGACATTTCTCACAAGCGCAGTTTTAATCTCCTCAGTTAGTATATAAAGAAACTCAATTCTTTCATCTACAAGTGCGAGTTATATTGTATGTGCGTTGCGTCAGAATTCGTTTATATGTATGCGTATTTCCGTTAAGTTAGTGTCAGAATAAAATAAGCCAATCCAAGCGAACCATTGCGTTGTAGAGTGCAGTCACATGTGTCGAACCAATCATCTATCTCCTATAGAAGACGAGAAAAAATGGTCTTGAGAGCTCATTGGTACATTAAGAAATTCTTTTTTCTGCTGTATTCGTTTTTTTCTCCGTGAATATTTTTTTCCGTGGCGCATGCGCTTCTGGCTAAACATTTTACAAAACTCTTGAATTAGAACGTCCAACCGATCATTTGTGAATTCCATAGAATTTTTTTTGAGTTTTCGAGAAACGCAGTCATCATATATTACTATTGATTCTGTTTTATCTTATACTAAACTCCTCTCCGTATCCGCTATTCCAAAATTAGTTTCGTAAAATGTACTAAATTAATTTTTTCCGTGTGGAGTCCCATGGTAGCGTTTTGCGTTGCGTTTTGTAACTAGGCAATGAGTGCAAATAGAGCAAACCTATATCTGTATCTCTCTCACACTCATGGCCTAGTTACAAAACGCAACGCAAAACGCTGCCATGGGACTCCAGCCTGAGGCCGCAGTCCCATGGCAGCGTTTTGCGTTGCGTTGTAATAAGAGAGAATGCAGCAAACGTATATTTGCGTCTTTTTCTCTCCCATTACGACGCAACGCAAAACGCTTTCATGGGACTCCACCCTCACTCATTGCCTAGTTACAAAACGCAACGCAAAACGCTACCATGGGACTCCAGCCTAAGAATTTAGGGATAATCGAGGTATAGTTAGAAGAATTCTAATAAAGATTATGAAATTACATACTCAACGTCACTTTTGGTAATAAGTCTCAAAGTTTTTTGAATCTTTTCTAAGGCTGAGTCTCCAATAGGTGCCAATATGCGTGTGCAAGTGCCAGTGCCAGTGCCAAACCCATTTAAAATGTATTGGGGATTGGCACTGGCACTGGCACTTGCACCTACATTCGTACCTATTGAAGATCAGGTGACGCTACATATATATAGCATATATAGGGTAGGAGTATACAAAATGCGTTACTAGGCACGTGTATATACGTATATAATACATATATGTATATAAATATATACATGATTTATTATAATATTATTACACAATTCAATTGTTTAATCACTAATAACTTTTGAAACGTTTTTAACAAAATACTTTCAAGACGATGATGACGCTCGGTTGTTCGCTGAGTGTTCGCCTAACATTAACTGCCCTATATTAAAGAACCAGTTGAGACTAGTAGAAATTGAACATGGATCTACTGGTGTCAACTTGCTTTCCAAATTGAAAAACTTTTCCGTGTAGCAATTCTACTGGTTTTAACTTGGAAATCCTATTTATGTAACTGAAACGGATATCCAAGATAAAATTGAAATGGTTCTATCTTGGATTGTCCTCTTCAATTTTTGTTTCGACTTGTTTTAACATGGATTTCCAATCTTATCATTTCTACTTGTATTTCCAAGTTCGCACGTATTACAAGTATCAGCTTGCATTTCCAAATACAAAAATTAAGTTCAAGTATCTACTTGGTTCAATTTAGATTCTCGAATACTACATTTCACTTGTCCTGTCAAATTAAAAATCAACAAGCTTGAGTTTGGAATTTCCAACTCTAAATTTATATGTTACAGTGAAGGATTAATGCCATCTTGGTTTAATTTGAATCATGGATGCATTCTATTTGGAATTTCAAGTTCAAATTTAAAGAGTTTGATTAATCGCTAATTGGAATTCATAAAATTGTCATTTTTGCCAATTGTTATTTTATAAATTGTTATTTTTGCAAAGAATTATTATTACAAATTTACATTTTTACAAATATTTATTTTAGTTAACTGTTATTTTGCAAATTTTATTTTTGCAAACTTGCATTCTTCGCAATTGACAGTTTTACAAATTGGTAGATACTTTTGCTAATTGTTATTTTTTGCGAAACTGCTTTGTTGTGAATCATTATTTCTGCTAATTGTTGTTTTGCAAACTTTATTTTTGCGAATTTGCATTTCTCGAATTGATATTTTTATGAATTTGTTACTATTGCTATTTGTAATTTTGTGAATTTTGTAATTTTATGAAAATCTGTAGTTCATAACAAAGCAATAAAACACTTTTAACCTTTTTTTTGAAATTTGAAATTTTTGTTATTTTTTTGCATTAACAAAATATTACAAAATTTAAAAAAAATTAATAACTCAAAAGCCGTTTACAATAAATTAATGAAACTTACACTATTTACACAAAATTGTTTACTCTTTTAATAGAAAACATTTGCATGATTGTTGTGGAAAATTCAGTCTTTCATTTTAAAAAAATGTATTAAAAACAAATAATAATTGTAACGTCTAGACTGAATTTTCCACGACAATCAAATTTTTCCCATTGTGGAGTGGACGCGCGTTTTTAATAAAAAATTCGTTATGTACATTCCAAATTGAAAACACAAAAATTTTTTATTAGGGGCTTCAAGAAGAGACTACTGAGTATACCTCCTATATGAGTTTTATTGCAATTGGAGGAGTAAAACACATAAATAATTAAAATTGTTTATAAAATTGTTATTAAAAATATTCAAATTTACAATCATGCAAATATTTTCTTTTAAGAGAGTGAAAATATTCTAATAAAATTTAGTAAAACTTCAAACTGCTTACCATTTCAGAGCGTGTTAGTATTGAAAATAATACAGTATCTAAAATTTTTTTACATTTAATAGTATTCAAAATAGTGGGTTTACAAATAAAAATATCAGAATGTATTATAAATAAGTTCCATATTCTCGTATTTGCAATTGTCTTATCATCAAATGATATTCTTTCTAAACTTTTATACTAACTTCTGTTCCCTAAAAATTATAATAGTAGATAAAAAAATAACACTAATTATTATTATAATAAGAACTATCATCATCGTACCTCGATTATCCCTAAATTCTTACGTTTTAATAGAAATATCGAAATACAATAAAGTAATTTTTGTAACTAAAAGTCTCTCCGTGTTGGAATCAGGGGGTCATGAAACGTAAAGATTTACCAAAATTAAACATTGATCAAAATCGCACAAATCCAAGACTTTCTCATTTTTGATGAGAATGTAAAAATTTTCCTAAATATTCTTTAGAATGTAGGTAAACAAGAACTAAAAAGAAATCTTAATGCAAATGAAAAGGTTTTTCATAATTTGACTACAGTAGAACCCGGTTAATACGATTCTGTAGGGATACCGCGCTAAGAATGCGTCTTATGCGGGAAATAAACTTTATGTCTTTAATGGCAGGGACCACCATAAATGAGCGTCTTAAGCGGGAAATCGTATTAAACGGGATTGATAACACAGTGGAACACCAAAAAATGGGTTAAGATTTGACTATAATGGAATGAAAGTACTACCCCAGCAGAGTAAAATCCCCAAAGGATTTTGAAAAATTAGCTGCCGTTTGATTTTCATTGTAATTTTAAGTTTTGATAATTCAGTAATTTATTGATTCGGTTTTTCTCAATTTTTTAAGTTCACACTACCCGCAAAATATTATTATATTTTTTTATTTAAATTTTTACTGAAATTAAAATTAAATAACTCTTTTGAATATTTAAACAAAAAATTTTACTCAAGTCAGATTAGTGTCTATTAATTTCGTTTTGGAAACTAAAATTTTAATATTTTAAGGTTTGTTTTGCGCAGAGCAACTCAAAAATTAAAATTCCAATAAAAATTATATTATTATAGATACAACATCCAAACTAGAATCAAAAATTGCGTATTACCTAATAGTATTTATATTCTAAATGGATGATAAATCGGTTTAATAGTTTTTGAATAAAACTCAAATGGCTTTTCTACACCTTGGATTTTTCATCCCACTCTACTCTAATAATAATAATAATTTTGAATTATAACATTTTAGATTCTATACTTTTCATAAGTCTACTTAAAATAAAGATTGTCACATGTAACATGGCTTTCGCGCCACAATTTTGCTTTTTTGACAGCTACACTTTAATAGTTTATTCCAAATATTGTACTTTAGAATAATAAAATATATTTAAACAATGTGTTTTCTATATTTATTATCGTTTTTAATAGCTGGTGTCGTTCACTGCTAGTGTCGACAACTGTAACTACTCTAATTTAGAATTTTACATATAACAATGATAAGTTAAATTTTAAATTTGATTTAGTGAAAGCGTAAAAAACTTAATTTTTAACATTTTAAACAATTAAAAGTTGTATTTGAATAAAAATTAATATTTTCTGCCAATAAAAAACTATTTACATAACATAACCTATAATTTGACAAATATTTCTTATTCACAGAAAATTTAAAGTTTTATTGAAATAAAACTTTAAAATGTTTAAAATTAGATTGTTTACCCTTCTACTAAAATAAATTTAAAATTTAATTTGTCTTTTTCTTTTAAAAATACAAAATTATGACCTTGGACTAATTTTTGTTTTGACTGTACAATAAATTCTTTCTTAAAGCCATCTAGGACTCAAAAACGAAGAATGATGTTGGCTGACACTTTTTTCATTAAATGAATAAAATTTTTAATAGAATAATTTATATTACCTTATAAATATAAAAAGTAATTTGTTTAACATTTATATCTTTTTAACATGATTTTTGTACCTATAATCAACTTCTAGAGCTTTAGTTTTGTTGACATTATTATATATATATTAAATATACAGAAAAAGGTAAGGTTAGGCTGCGGTTACACCTCTGCAGGCTGCCTGCCTGCGCAGGCAGGAGCAACGAGAGTAAAGTCCAACGCACAATAGGTTCGCGAAAGTCGTTCGCGAACGAGACGCATGAGATAGACAAGGACACAAATATATCTCTGTTCTTTTCTAACTCATGCTTTGCGTTCGCGAACGACTTTCGCGAATCTATTGTGCTTAGGCCTTGAGGGAGAAGTTTGAAGTCACTGACTCTCTTACTCTTGTACGTTACCATGACAACCTGCAGGCAGGCAGGCTGCCTGCAGAGGTGTAACCGCAGCCTTAGGCCGCAGTCCCATGGCAGCGTTTTGCGTTGCGTTGTAATGAGAGAGAATACAGCAAACGTATATTTGCGTCTTTTTCTCTCCCATTAAGGCCTTTCTCCAATAGGTTCCCAAAACTCTGTGTCTGCGTCGGTTGCTATGGCAACATATGCTAAAATCAACGCAACGCATAGGAACACGTTCGATGGTTCGCTGGTTCGGTGGTTCGATGCTGTGATTGTTGCTAAATAAAAAATTTAAAATAAGAAATAAAAATGAACCAAATTAATTTAAATTGACAATTTTAATGTAATAAAATATTTTTTAGGTATTATTTATAACAGATATTAATTACGAGGTAAATTAGGTGCTTTAAAAAAAATCATATATTTTGAGGTTATAAAATGTTATCACATTTAAGGCCTAATGTTGACCTTTTTCCATTACTTTTCCATAACACATTTTATAACCTCAAAATATATGATTTTTTTAAAGCACCTAATTTACCTCGTAATTAATATCTGTTATAAATAATACCTAAAAAATATTTTATTACATTAAAATTGTCAATTTAAATTAATTTGGTTCATTTTTATTTCTTATTTTAAATTTTTTATTTAGCAACAATCACATCATCGAACCATCGAACGTGTTCCTATGTTTCACAAGCTAAGGGTGCAATCCCATTACAGCAGAATACGTCGACCGAAAACAGAAAATCATGAGTGCGAAAGAGATAGATAGATATTGTTGTTCTTTTCTTTTGCACCCTAAAACGACGTTAGCAGAAAGGGGCCGTCCATAAATTACGTAACACGTTTTTAGTGAAATTTTGAACCCCCCCTCCCCCTATGTAACAGGTTGTAACAAAATCGTTTTACCCTCCCCCTCTATCATTGTTACGTAATTTTTTAAAATATTATTTTTACTAACGTTTTTCGAAACAAATTTGTTTATTACTGTTATTTTTAGTATTTATATCGTTCAATAGCAATACAAAATTAAGTTAAATATAAAAACATTTAGAGGAATAATTTTATTAATCATACTGAACAACCAATAAATAACATTGATTTTTTTAATAATAATTTTATATTATTTCCAAGAATCGATTCGCGAAATGATTCGATTTTTACTTATATTGAAGTGGCGGCAAGGGACAGCTTTTCAAAAATTTATCGATTGTAAAGAGATTAAGTTTCTTATAAATATTACGTAACAATGATGATTGACCCCTCCCTTCCATGTAACATATGATAACATTTTCTCGAACCCCCCCTCCCCCCTAAATGTGTTACGTAATTTATGGACGCCCCCAAACAGGTTTCCTCTCTTTGCCTCGTGGCGCGTAGGCGCTTCCGTAAGAAAGTGTAGCTAGCGAGAACAAACCTCTAATGTCATTGGTTTGCTCGAAAATTACAAAATTTCAATATAATACCTTGACATAAACATAACCGCAAAGTAAAAAGTGATTATTTTGAATAGCAAATAAAAGTATATAATTTAAATTTATTTCAACAATATCAATTATTTAGAATATATTATTGTTATTGAAAATTATTTATTTGTGTTCTTCCTTTAATTTTAATAAATACAATTAAGGTATTTAAAATTAAAAATTCTTTGATAACAAAATATTTTTTTTAATCCAACAGTGACAGATCGATTCAGAAGGTCCTTAATATTTTAAATCTGCTTTCATCTCAATTTTCTTTAAAAATACATTGATTTATTGACTTTTGAAAAATTGTTCTTCAATTATAAATTCAATTCAATTTTTTATAATCTTTGATACATTCACTTGCTTCAATTCTGCCCATAACCTAAATGAATTGTAATTTTCATTTTTTATAGAAAATTACCAAAACCTTAAAATTCCCTTAATTATAATTACAGATCGACTTTAAACACAAACAAAACATCTTAATTACAAGAAACATTGCAATTGATATTTTTGAAATAAATTTAAATTATATACTTTTATTTGCTATTTAAAATAATCACTTTTGCGGTTATGTTTATGTCAAGGTATTAAATTGAATTTTTGTAATTTTCGAGCAAACCAATGACAATATATGCAAAATAAAAGACTGGAAATAATATTAATAAAACATAATTCGATTAGATTTATTCCAATTTCATAAGTAAAATACTCAGTAACAAAATATTTTCAAAACTTTTCTGCTACAACTAGGAACGCTACTAGGCACGTAGGGAGGCCATAGAGATAATATAAATAGAGTGGGGATGGTTTGCATGTATGCGTCCGCTTGATAGAAAGAGAAAGAAGATTTAGCACCAGTAGGTGTCTCTCTTGCGCTGGAGCTCATTGAAGGACAGATACTGGTGTTAAATCTTCTTTCTCCCTCCAACTCATTCTGTATATGGCAGGACACTTCCCCCACACGCTGCGGCCTATACCTTCCCCACTCTATTTATAATATCTCTATGAGGGAGGCACGCATCAAGGAACTCAAGCTGAGTCTCCAATAGGTGCCAATATGCATGTGCAAGTGCCAGTGCCAAACCCATTTAAGATGAGTCTCCAATAGGTGCCAATGTAGGTGCAAGTGCCAATGCCAATCCCCAATACATTTTAAATGGGTTTGGCACTGGCACTTGCACATGCATATTGGCACCTATTGGAGACTCAGCTTTACGAACAGGCCGGTTCCTCTCTACGTGCCGCACAACACGAGTGAGTGCCGCATGGTGGCGCGTAGAAGCTTCCGTACACAACTACTTCGCGAACGTCGTTCGCGAATGTAAAGCATGAGTTAGAAAAGGACACAAATATATCTCTGTCCTTTTCTGACCCAAGCATTGCGTTCGCGAACGACATTCGCGAAGTAGTTGTGCTTAGGCCTTTGCCATAGCAATTAACGCAGAGCGTTTGCGAGATATGATTTGGGATCCTATTTGAGAAAGGGCTGAAGGCCTTTCTCCAATAAGGCCTTTCTCCAATAGGTTTTAAAAAGTGTGCGAATGACTGCGTTGCGTTGATTTTAGCATGTGTTGCTATAGCAACCGACGCAGACGCAGTCATTCGCACACTTTTTAAAACCTATTGGAGAAAGACCTTTAGGTTCCCAAAACTCTGCGTTTATCTGCGAATGACTGCGTTGCGTTGATTTTAGCTTATGTTGCCATAGCAACCGACGCAACGCAGAGTTTGGAGAAAGCCCTTTAGGGTGAAGTCCCATGGCAGCGTTTTGCGTTGCGTTTTGTAACTAGGCCATGAGTGCAAAGATAGTAAACATATATCTCCATCTCTCTCACACTCATGGCCTAGTTACAAAACGCTACGCAAAACGCTGCCATGGGACTGTACCATTAAGGACTTGAGTGCAAATATAGCAAACATATATCTCTATCTCTCTCACACTCATGGTCTAGTTACAAAACGCAACGCAAGACGATGCCATGGGACTTCTGCCTAGGGTACAGTAGTGTTCAATGAAGACTTCCTCAGATGATCGTGTTGCACTCATATACTCCCATGAGTGCAACACGATCATCCGGGGAAGGCTTTATTGAACACTACTGTACAATCCCATGGTAGCATTTTGCGTTGCGTTTTGTAACTAGGCCATGAGTGCAAATATAGCCAACATATATCTCCATCTCTCTCACACTCATGGCCTAGTTACAAAACGCAACGCAAAACGCTGCCATGGACCCTTAGGCTGGAGTCCCATGACAGCGTTTTGCGTTGCGTCGTAATGGGAGAGAAAAAGACGCAAATATACGTTTGCTGCATTCTCTCTTATTACAACGCAACGCAAAACGCTGCCATGGGACTGCGGCCTCAGGCTGGAGTCCCATGACAGCGTTTTGCGTTGCGTCGTGATGGGAGAGAAAAAGATGCAAATATACGATTGCTGCATTCTCTCTCATTACAACGCAACGCAAAACGCTGCCATGGGACTGCGGCCTCAGGCTGGAGTCCCATGGCAGCGTTTTGCGTTGCGTTTTGTAACTAGGCCATGAGTGCAAATATAGCGGACCTATATCTTCATCTCTCTCACACTCATGGCCTAGTTACAAAACGCAACGCAAAACGCTGCCATGGGACTTCAGGCTGGAGTCCCATGGTAGCGTTTTGCGTTGCGTTTTGTAACTAGGCAATGAGTGCAAATAGAGCAAACATATATCTGTATCTCTCTCACACTCATGGCCTAGTTACAAAACGCAACGCAAAACGGCACCATGGGACTCCAGCCTCAAGGCGAGAACAGAATGCCTATGAAAACGTGTACGTTAACGTGAACGTGGTCACGTGACCCATTTGAAGGCGAGAACACAATCCATGGGTACGCGAGCGACGTGAACGTAAACGTATGACGTCACCCATTTAGTTAACATTGTGACGTCAGCACGTTACACGTTCACGTAGGCTATTCTGTTCTCGCCTTGAAGGCGAGAACAGAATAGCCTACGTGAACGTGTAACGTGCTGACGTCACAATGTTATTCAAATGGGTCACGTGACCACGTTCACGTTAACGTACACGTTTTCATAGGCATTCTGTTCTCGCCTTCAGGGTGGAGTCCCATGACAGCGTTTTGCGTTGCGTTGTAATGGGAGAGAAAAAGACGCAAATATACGTTTGCTGCATTCTCTCTCATTAAAACGCAACGCAAAACGCTGCTATGGGACTGCGGCCTCAGCCTTATTCAACGTGAAACGCAGCGTTCGAACGCAAGCATGTGAACACCGCGTTAGATCCTATTGGAGAAAGACCTTAACCATGGCCTCGAACTTGCCTTGTATTCACCAACTCTGACCAACTTGCTGTAAACCAACCAGCTAACCTCCTTTTTGCTTGAAAATCAAGTGCGAAACAAGATGAAGGCTAAAGGAGAAGTAAGTTATTTTAATTTTTTTAGTGAAACCTTCCTCTATTTTATAAAATTACACTGTCAAAACTCTTCTTTCTTATAAGTGTAATACGATGAAAATAATTTAAAGTTGTCAAGTTTTGTAATTTCCAACAGCTTTCAATTGCCAGAATGCTTGAGACACCTCCACGTGTTTTCTTGAAATGTTATTGTATTTCATTAAATATTAAACTTAATGAATGTGCTTTATTAATATTTTTTTTCCCCAAAGATATGTGATTATTTTTTACTCACTAATACTCTTATTTCATGAATCTAAAGATGTAGTTAATGATTGATTTTTAATTAATTATTTATTATTACTATACTGTGAAAAGGTCTATAGAAAGCATATGTTCTTTGGTATAAGCGCCTTTCAGTTATTTTTCACATTTTAAAAAAAATTGAATTAAAATGTTTTCATTGATTTTCACATGTGTCTAATTGTTTTTGTGTATTCATTAGTTGTTTTGATAGGTTAGGAAGCTTAAACTATTGCTTAGTGACTTTGCTAGTCTGTGAAAATGATTAATTAGAATATTTTTCAACAGTTGAAGGAATACGAGGTAGTTGGGCGGAAGTTGCCCACTGAGAAAGAGAAGACAACACCTCTCTACAAGATGAGGATTTTTGCACCAGATGCAATTGTAGCGAAGTCTCGTTTCTGGTATTTCTTGAGGCAGCTGAAGAAGTTCAAGAAATCTACTGGTGAAATAGTCTCCTTGAAACAGGTAATGATGAACACTTATGTTTTTCTTTTGCAATTTCAAAATTTCCGTTTCGTTTAATAATTAAATTAAAATTAATATTTTCCCTGCAATCTATACGCGAAATTACAAAAGGAAAAGAAATGGTTAAAAAATTAGGTCGGAGTATTAATATAGTTTCACAATGAAAAAGTATTTATGAATTTTAATTTACTAGCGTCTAAGTCGATTGCTTCAAACTTTCATAGGTCATGCCAATTTTCTTTTCAAATTTTTAGATGCAATTCTTTTCCATGTTCTTTCTTTAAAATTAATTGTATAACTATATAAATTGAATCCTTTTCTTTAACTGTCCAAGTAACATGTAAGTTTGAAGGAAACTTGAAATGCAAGCTTCCTCCAAGTTACAAAATGTCCTCAAAATGTACAGCAGGTAAACTGTACTTGCTGCAAACTTACTGAACAATCTTTCAACAAGTTAGAATTTTTAGGACCTTTTTCTTCCTGTAACAATGTTGCACTGCAAGTTTTGAAAGTTTACTTAAAATTTCCTACAAACTTACAGGTTATTTGAGTAGAGTGTTTAAATTAAATTTATCAATTAATATTTTTTATACAATTTGTATTATATGATTACATCCTTCCTTTACATTATTTTATTACACAAATTTATACTTGAAATGGCATTGCATAAATTAATGCTTTGAAAGTGCATCTACCAAAATTTCATTGGTTAAAATAACAATAATTTGTTAAGATTTAGAGAAAATTTTTATTTTATTCTCATATATTCTTAAATAACTTTTTAAGAAAAACTATTATATACACTTGGGTTGCAAATTTTTTTGTTACATTTGACAGTTTTCCAATATCAAGTACAAATTCCACTTTTTAATTCTAAATTAAAATTATTCACAAATATTCAGTATTTTCTTTAAATTATAAAAAAAATTCTATTGCTCTCTAAATTTTTAAAGAATATAAATTACAAATTCGCTGCTTCTAATAATTTATTTTATCAATAAAATGAGTAATAATGACAGAGTTAAAATTTGTAACATTATGAGAAGAGAGATATTTTATATATAAATATCTTAAATTTTCAACAAACAAAAGGTTACTTTTATAGAATTTAAAGAAAATACTGAATATTTGTGAATGATTTTGGTCTAGAAATAAAGAGAAAAAAAAAAAAAATGTCTTCAATTGGCGTACGCTTCAACTCTAGATTTCGAAATAGCAATTTAAAAAAAAATCTCTTATCTTTAATGAACTATATTTCACTTCTTTAATAAGGTTTCTATTTGACGTAAAAAAAATTGGATTACTTTTTTAGTAAGGAAAGCAATGGTTTTATTCATTTTTTGATAAATTTAAAAAATCTTTAAAAAATGGCTAAGGTTTGAAAGCGAAAAAATCATTTTTTAAGTTAGAGGCGTATTTTGAATATTGCGTGGGGTGTCCAGACACCTCAGTTACTCCTTCTAGGGTTAAATGGGTTATATCTAGACACATTTGACTCTAAATTTATTGAACTTAAAATGATCCTAGTTTAATAGGCTTTACATCTATTTTTACAGAAATATTTAAATTTGAAGTAAAGCGAGCTTTTAAAAGTAATCAGTCTAACTTTTTAATGATTATCAGGGTGGCCACATGTCAGTAAAGTCAGGGAAATGTAAGGAAAGAACTTTTTTGTCAGAAAATTGAGACTTTTTTCGACTTATTTTCAAAAATTGCGACTTTTTCGACTTTTCTTCCAAACACTGCAACAAAATACCTCAATTTTTAGTAAAAAAGTGCAACTTATTTTGATTTTTATAATGCAAAAAATAACTATAGGGTCAAACCATTATATTTCAAATAAAGTCGTTGCTGCCTAATTTTTAAAAAAATTGATACTTTTAGAAATGAATCTGTATGATCTCTGAAGAACGAAATGAAAAGAATTATATTAAAATATTTATTACTTTTCTTAAAATATGAGTGTAAAGTGGAGAAGGTGCGAAAAAATGTCACTTTTTTAGCAATTAGAAAATATTTAAAAAAGTATTGAAAAATTCTTAAAAATGCAAAAAGATTTATTGATTCATGTTTAAAATTAGTTAATTAATTATTCTTCAATAATAAAACTAGTAAAAATATAAAAATAATAGATAAAATATGTTTTTAAAGTCGATCCGCCAAATAACCTAATTTTGACGTTTTAATTAATTAATTACGAGAAGGTGGAATTATTGAATTAAATAAAAACTCACCGAATATATAGTATTTTTGATGAAGTTTCAGGATTTCTTATCACTTTTTTAATTTTGCTTTAAATACATATATACAAGAAATATTGAGTTGAAAGTACGCGATTTCTGAATTGTTGCGTACTTTACAACTTAATAACTCTGTTAAAGAAAAATAAAAAAATTTGGCACTTTCGCAACTTCTAAATAACAACGAAATCTATACACTCAAAAATTTTCGTTTTGGTCCCGGGACTAATTTAAAAAATATAAAGGTTTAAAAATTGCACACTTTTTCAGGTTAAAACTATTTATTTTCTTAAAATTGAAGTTGGTTTCTTGTTGTTAATCACGTTCCGATCATAGTGTTTAAATTAAAAGCCAACTTCAATTTCCAGAAAATAAACAGCTTTAACTTGAAAAAGTGTGCAATTTTTAAACCTTTATATTTTTTAAATTAGTCCCGGGACCAAAACGAAAATTTTTGAGTGTATAGATTTCGTTGTGAAAATGCCAAATTTTTTTATTTTTCTTTAACGAAGTTATTAAGTTGTGAAGTACGCAACAATTCAGAAATCGCGTACTTTCAACTCAATATTTCTTGTATATGTATTTAAAGGAAAAATTAAAAAAGTGATAAGAAATCCTGAAAGTTCATCAAAAATACTATATATTCGGTGAGTTTTTATTTAATTCAATAATTCCACCTTCTCGTAATTAATTAATTAAAACGTCAAAATTAGGTTATTTGGCGGATCGACTTTAAAAACATATTTTATCTATTATTTTTATATTTTTACTAGTTTTATTATTGAAGAATAATTAATTAACTAATTTTAAACATGAATCAATAAATCTTTTTGCATTTTTAAGAATTTTTCAATACTTTTTTAAATATTTTCTAATTGCTAAAAAAGTGACATTTTTTCGCACCTTCTCCACTTTACACTCATATTTTAAGAAAAGTAATAAATATTTTAATATAATTCTTTTCATTTCGTTCTTCAGAGATCATACAGATTCATTTCTAAAAGTATCAATTTTTTTAAAAATTAGGCAGCAACGACTTTATTTGAAATATAATGGTTTGACCCTATAGTTATTTTTTGCATTATAAAAATCAAAATAAGTTGCACTTTTTTACTAAAAATTGAGGTATTTTGTTGCAGTGTTTGGAAGAAAAGTCGAAAAAGTCGCAATTTTTGAAAATAAGTCGAAAAAAGTCTCAATTTTCTGACAAAAAAGTTCTTTCCTTACATTTCCCTGACTTTACTGACATGTGGTATTTTTCTACAATTTTTGTAAAACAATATTTGAAAATTTTTAATTGCAAATTTTGAAAATAATTGAATTATCAAAAACTTAAATGGAAAATATTTAAAGGTAAATTTGAAAATGAAAATGAATGAAAATGGGCTGTCAATTATTTTAAGAATTATCTTACTTTCAACAAAACAAAGAAAATTCAAAAATTTTTTATATTTGATCTTTAAACATAAATACGATTGTTATAAATATATATTAAAATAATTTTTTGATAAATTTCAATAGATTTATTATTTATTAATCTCTCTTTCAGAGAAAAATTGTATTTATTTGTTTTATTTATTTATTTACTATTTACTATTTACTAAATTGTCGATAAAATAGATTTATTGATGACAATTTTCGTTCAGCTTAATATTTTTAATCAAATATGGCTAAGATTTTAAGTTTCGCTAAAATCTATCAGACTGACAAGTTTCACTTTGATCGGTCAAGCCGATTTTAAGTGATGCCCGTAGGGAAATATCGACGTCAGACATACAGAATTTTTATTTATGGTATAATTGTAGTTTTTACTACTGAAAATGATAAACTATGCAAGAAAAAATTAATTTGGAGCAATGTACAGACAAGTCTGATTTTATTAATATAAGTAGGGGAGTATAGTCGAGGTTGGACCACTGTCTAGGTAGGCCACTCGCATTTTTTTGTCAAGTTCACTAGCGCCACCTACGCGCATACTTGTCGAAGCTTGTCTTAGTAAAACCTAACTTTTTGTTCAATTACATTTTCGGAGAATGAATACATGGCTACTTGACCTTCGGGGACTAAAAGGCCAATAACCAAAACCAAACCAAACCAATTTTCGGAGAATCGAAAATTGTGTTTTCTGTGACGTCGGTACAAAAAAAGCTCAAAAAAAGTTTTGTGCATCATGTGAAAAATCATTAATAAAAGATAAAAAAAAAATTAAATCGTCAAGGCAAGCATGCAGAAATTTTGTGGGACTCATTGTTGAAAGAAAATCAAAGTGAAAAATCGAATCCCGAAACGTATTTCTTTTTGGTTACAACAATTCGGTAATGTTACTTTCTGTCAAGGTCGGCCACTTTGTGTTTAAAATGCGCAAAGATGAGGACGAGCTACTTCATTTGCAAAAATTGCAATTCTGTATTACTCATAATATAATTGATCATCTTATTAATATTTTTATTTAATTTTATTAATATTTCAGTGCAAATTTTTTTTTTATTTATATTTATTTTTTTATATTGTTTATTTTTATTATTTTGTTATTTCATTAAGTTACAAACTGTAAACAATAAAGAATCAATTTTCCGTAACTCCAAACATGTTATTTTAATTTTTAACAATTAATGCCCTTTGAATTTTAAACATGGCCGACTTTGACTGTAAGGACCAATCTGGACTACAAATTTTTTTTTTTAATCTTTATAACTTTTTCATTTTAAAACCAATCAATTGACTTTGTACAGAAAAAGATGTTCCTAATAAACAGGACTTTCCAACCATATACTTCAATTATCCAAATTGATTTTTAAAAAAATGTTATAAACAAAAGTCAAAAAGTGGGCCGACCTCGACTATGTTCCCCTATCATATTATATAAATAAAATTAATCATTTTTAATGCTTTTCAGATTTCTGAGAAAACACCAACAACAATAAAGAATTTCGGGATTTGGTTGCGATATGATTCAAGGTCTGGAACTCATAATATGTACCGAGAGTACAGAGACTTGAGCGTGAGCGGCGCGGTAACTCAATGCTACCGAGACATGGGTGCACGACATCGAGCTCGTGCTCATTCAATCCAAATTATAAAGGTCGAGATCATCAAAGCTGCTCAATGTCGTAGACCTCAAGTCAAACAATTCCACGATGCCAAAATCAGGTTCCCATTGCCCAAACGTATTGCACACAGGAATCAAATGCCGACATTCAGTGTACGAAAACCGCGTACCTACTTCTTGTAAAAACTTTTATTTGAATATTTTTTCTTGAAATAAACTTGAAAATTTATTTAATATGTATTTTTTTCTTTACATTTTCCTACTCTTATAAGATATAAAATTTACAGATATTTCACAAAAATTATTAAAATATGGGTATATTTCCAGAACCTTTACAATTCCATTATTGGACAAATTGTTGTGCTTTTTAAATGTATCATTATTTAACAATAATGTTTCTAAATATGTGGGGAACGCGAGCGAAAGTTACAGTGACGAAATCGGTATCAACTTTACACATTTTAATTTTATACAGTGAAACTGTATTAGGGGCGTTCCATAGCTGGAAGAACTTTTGAATCTCAGATTTTGTTTATACCTGGTTCATTTGTTGTGTTTAGGGTGCTTTTAAAGTACACCTAAGGATTTTGCAAAATTTCAATTATTTTGCAAGATATTGTTAATTAAACTTTTTGGTCACTTTTTTCAGGATTCTTTATCTTGTAAACTATTGGCCCTAGAAAAAAATGTTGTAGATAAAAATTGAAGAGAATGTACTGAATTTTAATAATATTTTATCAAAAAATAATTTTTTAAACTTTTTGACAAATTTGTTTAAACAATTATTTTTTAAAGTTGTTTTTTTCATTAAGGGAATAACCAAATTTTATAAAAAAATATTTTTATTAAAGCTTGGAATGTCCTTAAAAATTACCGCAATTTTTGAAGATGTGCTTTTTGATAATTTTGAGAAATTAATTTTTGACTTTTTGACTGCTCGGCTCAGGCCATACGGCTTGCGTCACTTTTTTTAAAAGAATTTTTATCTTGTAAACTATTGACCCTAGAAAAAAATGTTTTGGAGAAAAATTGAAGAGAATGTATTGAATTTTAATAATATTTTATTAAAAAATAATTTCTTAAACTTTTCGACAAATTTGTCTAAACAATTATTTTTTAAAATTGTTTTTTTCATGAAGGGAATAATCAAATTTTATAAAAAACAGAGTTAGGCCAGTCGGTGAGTGCAAAAAGTGCACATAAGTGCAACCTGAAAAGTCGAAGCAGTTTCTTGTAGTTTGAGGGCCCCAAATAAAAGCCCCATAGTTTGCACCACATTTCCGGTTGCGAAAAATGGTGTAAACAATCGCCAAAGTTCGAAAAACATGGTTTTTCGATGACTGTTGCTTCCGGTTAAATTTTAGGGGAAAAAGTTGTGATTGAAAGTTATAGAGCTTGGAAATAGCTTTCAAATGATTGGTCGCAAGTTAAAAAAGCTTAATTAGTTTAGTTGCAAATGAATTTAAACCATTAAAAATAGCACTTTTTTAATTGTTTAATAACTTTGTTAATAATTATCGAATTTGTTTCTAACTTCCCAGAAATATTCCCCTTGCAAAGCTGAATAAATCCCAAAAAAATTCAACTTGATCGGGTAAATAGTTTATGCATAATTCCATTTGTTAACTAAAAACATGTAATTTTTCAACGGAATTTCCCCACTTTTGGACCTGCGAATTTCGTTTTTTTTTTGGAGAGTACAGTTAAGGAGTCTAACTTTAATTCCATTCAAATGGGAAATTGATTTTTTTTATTTAAGTGCATAATAATAGTCGTTAAAAAAGGGTATGTTTTTTTGACATAAACAAATGGAATAACTCGGCCAATTTTCACTTTATCGATTTCGTGTAAAGGGCATTTGATTTCATTTGTTTTCACAAAACTTTTCCAAAAAAAAAATCCGATCTAACTTCAAGAGGTGGAGAGTTAACTTTTTTTTAAAAAAAAATTCCTGACAAGTTAATCATTAATGTTTTTTATTGAAATTCGCACCACTTACAGTTTGATACATGTATTTTATGTAAAAAAATTAAACATAAGGTTTTGTGCATTTTTTTAAAATTTATAACAAGTAAAAGTAAATGTATCCATTTTTCAACCTCTGAACGGCGGAGTGGGGGTACCCGGAGGAGCGTGATTCTCGCCGCCACAACTGAATTCAGCCGTTCAAATTTGCAAAAATGGTCATAACTTCGTTAATTATTTACCGATTTTTATCTTTCTTTTTTTAATTCGATGTATTTTTTTACGCTGAATCCAAAAATAATTTTATATGTTTTCAAAATACAATATTTTTAATAATAAAAAAGAAAATTTTTTTTAACAACAATTTTTTAATTATTATTTATCATATTTGACAAAAAATTCTTTTCGTACATATAATTCCATTAAATTTAAAATAATATTATGACATAAAAAAAATAAAATTATTTACTTATAAGTGTGTAGCATTGTTGTATTGATAGTTGAACAGGCGTGCATATGTGAACCTGATGCTACAAGCTTATATATAATTAATTTTAATTTTTTTATGTCATAATATTATTTTAAATTCAATGGAATTATATGTACGAAAAGAATTTTTTGTCAAATATGATAAATAATAATTAAAAATTTGTTGTTAAAAATTTTTTCTTTTTTATTATTAAAAATATTGTAATTTGAAAACATATAAAATCATTTTTGGATTCGGCGTAAAAAAATACATCAAATTAAAAAAAGAAAGATAAAAATCGGTAAATAATTAACGAAGTTATGACCATTTTTGCAAATTTGAACGGCTGAATTCAGTTGTGGCGGCGAGAATCACGCTCCTCCGGGTACCCCCACTCCGCCGTTCAGAGGTTGAAAAATGGATACATTTACTTTTACTTGTTATAAATTTTAAAAAAATGCACAAAACCTTATGTTTAATTTTTTTACATAAAATACATGTATCAAACTGTAAGTGGTGCGAATTTCAATAAAAAACATTAATAATTAACTTGTCAGGAATTTTTTTTTAAAAAAAAGTTAACTCTCCACCTCTTGAAGTTAGATCGGATTTTTTTTGGAAAAGTTTTGTGAAAACAAATAAAATCAAATGCCCTTGACACGAAATCGATAAAGTGAAAATTGGCTGAGTTATTCCATTTGTTTATGTCAAAAAAACATACCGTTTTTTAACGTCTATTACTATGCACTTAAATAAAAAAAATCAATTTCCCATTTAAATGGAACTAAAGTTAGACTCCTTAACTGTACTCTCCAAGAAAAAAAAACGAAATTCGCAGGTCCAAAAGTGGGGAAATTCCGTTGAAAAATTACATGTTTTTAGTTAACAAATGGAATTATGCATAAACTATTTACCCGATCAAGTTGAATTTTTTTGGGATTTATTCAGCCTCACAAGGGGAATATTTCTGGGAAGTTAGAAACAAATTCGATAATTATTAACAAAGTTATTAAACAATTAAAAAAGTGCTATTTTTAATGGTTTAAATTCATTTGCAACTAAACTAATTAAGCTTTTTTAACTTGCGACCAATCATTTGAAAGCTATTTCCAAGCTCTATAACTTTCAATCACAACTTTTTCCCCTAAAATTTAACCGAAAGCAACAGTCATCGAAAAACCATGTTTTTCGAACTTTGGCGATTGTTTACACCATTTTTCGCAACCGGAAATGTAGTGCAAACTATGGGGCTTTTATTTGGGGTCCTCAAACTACAAGAAACTGCTTCGACTTTTCAGGTTGCACTTATGTGCACTTTTTGCACTCACCGACTGGCCTAATTGTATTTGTAGGACTTAATGGTGCATTCTACGCGAAACGAAACAACTTGAAATTTCTAATGCAATGGTAAATACTTACTTTTTAGAATGCTGCTATTTCCATTAATTTTAATGCATTTCCACGAAATAAAAAAAATGACGGCACTTTTTTATAGTAAATTTAATTGTCATTTAATTTGTTTATTTTATTTTTAATTTTAAAATTGTATAAATTTTCATTGAAAAAATTAAAAACGAAAGTTTCGTGTGTGCTTTACAATAAAAATGATCAAATTTCAATTAATTTTTAGACGTTTTCGATATACACAATCACGAGTGATGATTCGAATTTAGATTTATATATTTAGAACTACCTATAGAATTTTTTCTTATAAATAATAAATTATTTTGAATTTATTTAAATTTATAACAATAATATTTTTTATTATATTATTTATAAAAAAATATTATGGTTATAGAGTTATTCCATTATATTTCGATTAAAGTCGTTGCTGACTATAATTTTAAAAAATATATATGGGCAATTCCACGCAAGATTTACCTATGACCTTGAGAATTCGGTTAAACATATTTTTTTCTCAATCTATATGGAAAAAAAAGAAATACGTGTTTTTTTATTTTTGTTTAATCGCCCAAATTTTCGAGTTATGAATTTTCAAAATTTTGGATTTGTAACTGTAGACATATTTTCAGTAGCTTATAAGTCTGAAAATATTGAGTTTAGAAAAAAATTGTCAAGGAATGAAAGTTTTAGTTTTCTTTCAACTTTTAAGAAATGTAAAAAAAAATTTTTTTTTTTATAAACAAATTAATTTTTTTTAACTTTGGACCCTTTTTTTTAAATTTATTTATACCTTATAATATACAGAAGATTCTCCAAAAAGTTTTGGAGTGGGGCGACGCGTTTAATGAGTTGTACAAAATTTTCAAAAATCACGTGCAAGGTTCTCGCGTTCTACGAAACGCCTCACAATGGAATTTTTTTACAATTTACTTCTCAAAAAATGTCTACAGACTAAAATTTTTAATCGATTCGAGTGTTTTTTGTTTTAAATAAAAGGAGAACAATTTCTGAAGATATCTCTCCATGCAAACCTAAGAATCTTCAATTGTTTATAATTTTTTTTTTAAACAAAAAGTTAACAAATTAATTGTGTAGTTTCCTTTAAAAATGAAAGATTATTTTCTTATTTTACTACTACACATGTCCTAAATCAGATTCAATTAATATAATATACGACCACCAAATAAATAGTAAAACATAAAATAATTTATCTAAACTGTTATAAACAATATTAGTTAACAAATAGTTAACTTTGGTTCCTCTCCATAAAAAAACTTTGTTCTTTCATATTCATATTATACTTTAGGTTCATTTAATGAATACATCTCCCTTTCGTTAAAAAACAATTTTTAATTGTTATAAACAATAATAGTTAACAAATAATGAACTTTGGTTC